AGATACCATTTGGGCAAATGGCAGTCTAACATTCCAGTCTAGTGGATTGGTTTAGTTTTCAGCATACTTGTCTCTTCTCCAAGTTTAGATAATAAATACTAATCTATATTATAAAAACCCAATGGCCCTAACACCACAACAACCAAAGACAAGTCACCAGGAGGCTGCGTGTGGCAAGGTTTGCATGGTGGGTGGGTGGGGCTGCGTGCCAGAAGCATGTAGTTGGGCAGGGACTTGACTCTGGGTCTCGCAATGAGACAGAGTCTGGGGTCCCTGATCTCATGCAATTTCCCTGGTGTCTGGGTCACTAGTGATATTAATAATGGTGATTATTTTTTGGTGCTTGCTATATGTCAAATGCTGTTCTAAGCATTTTGTATATATTTCATTTAATTTCGACAACAATCCTAAAAGGTAGGTATTATTATTATCCCATTGGATAGATGAGGAAATTGAAGCTCAGAAAGGTCAGGCATTTGCTTAAGGCCACAGAGCTAGTGAGTAGCAAAGCAGGGATTCAGTCCAAGCAGTCGGGCTTTAGGGCCCATGTACTTTTCCCAAGCACTCTCAGTATCAGCAGCAAGCTAGGAGACTTGGTCTGAGCCCTGAGCAGACTTGTGCTTTGGAGGGCCTCAACAACCCTGGCTGCACATCAGAACCACTTGAGGAGCTTGCCAAAATGCTGATTTCCATGCCTAAACCTAGTAGGTCAGTAAATTGCAGTCTCTAGCAGTGATTCCAATCATGGATTTTATTTGTTTGTTTGTTTGTTTGTTATTTTTGTTGTTAACCCTCACCCAAGGATATATTTAGGGAGAATGGAAGAGAGAGAAACATCCATGTGAGAGATATCGATTCGTTGCCTCTTACATGAGCCTTGGCCAGAGCCGGGGCCAGGGAGGAGCCTGCAACCAAGTATGTGCCCTTGACCGGAATGGAACCCAGGACGTTTTGGTCTGAAGGCTGACGCTTTATCCATTGAGCCAAACTAGCTAGGGCATGAATGGTTGTTTTTGTAAAATACATTTTGATTGATTTTACAGAGTGGGAAAGAGAGATAGAAACATCAGCGATGAGAGAGAATCATTAATAGGCTGCCTCCTGCATGCTCCCTACTGGGGGTTGAGCCCACAACCCGGGGATGTGCCCTGACCTGGAATCCAATTGTGACCTCCTGGTTCATAGGTTGACATTCAACCACTAAGCCACACCAGCCGGGCCATGGATGGTTTTGAAAAGCATCACTGGTTAGTCTAACATATAACTAAGGGTTGAGAAGCAGTGGTATTTAGCCTTATCATTCCTTCTTTTTTGGGGTGTGTTTTAGGTCAAGCTGTTAAACAAAATACCATAGACTGAATGGCTTAAACAACACGTATTTCTCAGGTTGGGAAGTCCCAGATCAAGCTGGCAGTAGATTGATTCAGTGTCTGGCAAGAACCCATTTCCTGGTTTGCAGACAGCCACCTTCTTGCTGTGTCCTCACCTGGTAGTGTGAGAGAGTTCCTCTCTCTAAGTCTCTCTTTATAAGGACATTAATCCCATTCATGAAAGCTCTACCTTCATGACCTAATCACTTGTCAAAGGCTCCAATTCCAAATACCATCACACTGGGGATTAAGGCTTCAACATATTGTGGGGGCACACAAACATTCAGTCAATAGCAGGAAGCAACTATCAATACATGTTCTCTTTTGTGTTTTGAATGTCGGTTTAGGATGACACCTGTAGAGGCACCACACCATGAGCTCCAGAATTCAGTGTACATGCTATGGCAGCCACATTCAATGTTGATATGTGGTAAGCAGAGTATCAAGGGCTAATATAGCATGCTCAGTGCTGGGCATCAGGGTAGCTTAGTGGTGTAGAGCTTCATTCCGTATTGAACAGACCCAAATTCAAGTTGATACCTTGTTTGTGATTTTGAAAATTTATCCTTTCACTGATTCCATTTTGTCATCTATAAAATTGAGCTAATAAGACAATATTACCTATTTCATGAGGTTTTTGGGAAGATTTAGTGAGCTGGAACATGTACTCAGTGTAATAATGCCTGACACCTAACACTCAGTAAATATTTTATAATGTACTTTTCTCTTTAAATATTGGCCATCTTTTTTAACTTCATGACCATTCATATAGTTTATTTGAGCCTAGTCACAGGCAAACAGTTATATTTGGGAAAAGCTACTAGTGACACTGATATTGAGAATTTTTTTTTTACATTTTCTGAATTGCCTGATATGTGCAAAGAGGTATGTTAGGCCTCGAAGAGCTAGAACAGGGAGGGAGGCCCAGTACCTGCTCCCCTAAGTGCATTCGCTGCCAGCCCAGATATTGTACCCAATAACTCATGCCAGACAGGCTGTGCCATAGTAGAGGTCTAAACAAGAGGATGAGACCCTAGTTGGGTAGGTCAATTTGTTAAGATTGTCGTCCTGATATGTCAAGGTTATGGGTTCCATCCCCAATCAGGGCAATATAAGAATCAACCAACAAATACATAAATAAGTGGAACAACAAACCTCTCTCTCCCTCCCCCTTTCTCTCTCCCTCTCCCTCTCTCTCACACACATTTTAAAAATAACAAAAATTGGAGGTTATCTCGGAGGTCCTCCAAGATGGCTGCGCCCAGGTGAATACCTAGCTGCAGCCTCACACAACAATTTCAATAAAATACAACTAAAATATAAAATGGACATTATCCAGAACCACAGGAAAGTCGACTGACTGGAAATTCTACAACGAGAAGCAAGGAGAAAGCCAGAAGGAAGCGCGGAGGAGCTGTAAAAGCCTAAGGTACAGAGACACGCGGCGCGCGGAGAGGACGGAGCCGGAGAGGAGGGAGGCGGAGTGCCTGGCTGGCGTTCCCTAGCGGGAAGGAGATAAAACTCCGACTGTGCTGGGCCCCAGACTGCTCTGAACCCCAGGCCTAGGCCAGACCCCGGGGACCCAGGCTCACACAGAGGGAGCCGGGCTATAAGGCGGAACCCGGGGAAGCCGCGAAAGGGGGTCCCGGCGGCGGCGGCGGCGCGCAGTTCGCTCAGAGAAGGGACGGCCGGCTGTGCCGCGGGATTGCCTGGCGGGAAGGAGACAGGGGCTCCAGACTGCTCTGAACACCACCTCCAACTCCACTTCCAACTGAACTGAACCCCAATACCGGGCTCATTGGGGGAGAGCATTGACTGTTAGGCAGCAGGCGAAAACCGAGGGCACCTTTCTCTCAGAGGCGCCGGCAGCGAGCACTGAAGGACCCGCATAGGGCGGGGCTGACTGAAGCCAAAGCTGCAGGCTCCACCCTGAAACCCCGCCCCATCTGTAACTGTGAAATGCGACAACGAAATAGATCACAAACGAAAGAAATGGAGGACAAAAAGCGGCTGGATATAGAGTTCAAATCTACGCTTATAAGGTTTTTCAAGAATTTCCTAGAAAAGATGGATAAGACCTATGAGGATATGAAAAGAAATCAACTAGAATTAATAAGGAGTCAACAAGAAATGATAAGGGAACAACAAGAAATAAAGAATACATTGTCTGAAATAAAAAATATTTTACAGAGTCCTAAAAACAGAAGGGAAAATCGCAAGAATCAAGTCAAAGATTTGGAACATAAAGAGCCAGAAGACACTCCTTCACAGAAGCTAGAAGGCAAGAGAATCCAGAAAATTGAAGATAATGTAAGAAACCTCTGGGACAACTTCAAGCGAACCAACATCAGAATTATGGGGGTCCCAGAAGATGAGAGAGAGCAAGATATCGAAAACATACTGAAAGAAATAGTGACAGAAAACTTCCCCCACCTGGGGAAAGAATTAGACTTACAAGTCCAGGAAGCGCACAGAACTCCAAACAAAAGGAATCCAAAGAGGACCACACCAAGACAAATCATAATTAAAATTCCAAGAGCAAAAGACAAAGAGAGAATATTAAAAGAAGCAAGAGCAAAGAAGGTAGTTACCTATAAAGGATCACCTATACGATTGTCAGCTGACTTCTCAACAGAAACCATGCAGGCCAGACGGGAATGGCAAGAAATATTCAAGGTGATGAATAGTAAGAACCTACAGCCAAAGATAATCTATCCAGCAAAGCTATCATTCAGAATCGAAGGTCAGATAAAGAGCTTCACTAATAAAAAAAAGCTAAAGGAGTTCATCAACACCAAACCAGACTTATATGAGTTGCTGAAGGGAGTTCTTTCAGAAGAGAAAGTAAACAAAGATAAAAATTATGAACAACAAATACGTAACTATCAACAAGTGAATCTAAAAACCAAGGAAATTAAAAAAAAAAAATCTGATGAACAATAGTAACTGTTGAATATAATAGAATCAGAGGTATGGAAGGGGACTGAACTGAAGATTCTTGGGGAAAAGGGGAGAGGGGGGTGTGGGAAGAGACTGAACATAAACTGTGCACCTATGGATGAGGACAATGGGGAGTGGGGAAAGGGCAGAGGGTGGGGTGGGAACCTGGTGGAGGAGAGCAATAGTGGGGTGGGGGGGAAGGAACATTTGTAATAATATGAACAATAAAAACTTATTTAAAAAAAAAAAAAATAAATAACAAAAATTGATGTCTTTGTACCTGTGAGTTTGTTACTATTTTTAAAAAATAAACAATAAACAAGGGGATGTATCAGACAAGTAAACGGGAGCACTTTGAAAAGGTTAAGTACATGGGAGTTGTGTGTTGAACATGTCTAGAAGGCATAAGTTGGGAAGGAACATTAAGTGTAAAGTTGAGTCTGTCCCAAATGGCTGCTTCCTTCCAAGCAAAATAAGCCATAAATTTGTGAGCAATGTGCCATGACTTTACTTCATGTTCATATTCATTTTAAGCCCATGGAACAAGAAGAACCCTGTTACAGCCTTTCTTTGCCATCCTTTGGGACAGAAGCATGGCATCCAGAATCCAGACTTGAGACCTCGGCTAATTTGACTAGAACATTTATTTCCTGATTACATCACCTCATCCCATCTTCTATTTCCCGTCAGGCTCAGAGCCCCTTTCTTCCCCGCGGTGGAGGAGTAGATGTCCATTTCTCAGGAGCCACGGACTGCTTCCGGCAGATAGTGAAGGCCCATGGGGTACTGGGGCTCTGGAATGGATTGGCAGCCAATTTACTGAAGGTGAGAAGAGTGGTCAGTCTCTACTGTTTCTCTGCCTCTTATAGTTCTAGCCTGTTCTGTTGCCACTTCTAGAACAGTTTCCATGGAAATGACCCCTCTAGCATTGATGGTAGCCTAAGGCCCTCAAGTGCAGCCTGGCTGTCAGCCCTAAAGAGAGAGGAACCTGTGCAGAGTTGGGGCATCTGATACCCCATCCGAGAAGAGCTGACCATTTAGTGTACAGGTTCCTACCATGAGGGTTCATGGACTCCCAAGGGGAACCTAACCTTCCATCCTAAAATTATATGAGAAAATGCAGATGTGTGTGCAGATGTGCCTCTCTCTAGGGAAAGGATCCATAGCTTTCATTGTATTCCCAAAAAATTCCATAACAAAAAAAAAAAATTAAGAACTCTAGACTGCCCTGGCCAGGTGGCTCAGCTGGTTGAAGCATCATCCTGTACACCAAAAGGTTGTGGGTTTAATTCCTGGTCAATTGAGCTCAATTACCTCGGATGCAAGTTTCATCCCTGGTGGGAGTGCATGAGAGAGGCAGTCAATATCTCTCTCTCTCTCTCCCTTTCTCTCTCTCTCTCTCTCTCTCTCTCTCTCTCTCTCTCTCTCTCTCTCTCTCTCTCTCTCTCTCTTTCTCCCTTCCACTCTCTAAACATATGCTCAGGGGAGGATTGAAAAAAGAAAAAAATTCACATATTACGTTCTATTAGGGGGAAAAAAGAATTCTGGACTAAACCTTGTACTAATTGACACATAAATGGTTTCAGTCAAGACAAGCATATGTTGACAAGAAGTGTCAGTTCTGGATTAATATGTATTCCCCAAGGCCCTTCAACTGCTCTGCCACTCCTCACCCACATCCCTATCTTCTCTGATTCCCCAAAAGAATTACTATGTTGTATTATCCACAGCCTTTAATTCAGTTTACCCTGATTCAAATTGATTGCAGACACATTGACACTTATAAGATTTTTAACATGATTTTCATTTTTCATTTTAAACAGATAGTTCCCTATTTTGGCGTTATGTTTGGTACCTTTGAGTTCTGCAAGAGAATCTGTCTCTACCACAATGGTTACATTGTGTCTCCTCTGAGCTATAAATTGACTCCAGGGGTAGATCAGAGTTTGAAACCCCAGGAATTACGGGAATTAAAGAAGTTCTTCAAAACTGGAAAACTAAATTCTAGAAAACCAACTCTTTAAAACTGAATGGAACTAGAAGTGCACTGACCGAAGGCGTGTTGCAATCACAGATAAATTTAGCTTCAAAATTGCACAATTGTGGAGTGAGGAGAGGGTACTCCTGTCTGCTGCTCTTGGAAGTGAGAAGACTCGGCTGTATGCCACCTCTGAGCTCCAAATTGATGTTCCTGGGAGCACCTGCACCTCAGGAAAGTTTCCCAACATGACCGTCCCCTGATGGCATGCCACCAGATTTTATAACAAAAGCTAGCAGTAATGATATGTGCTATTTACACAATACCAAAGAAAGGGCGTTCTCATGACACCTCAGAGCAACATGTAGTTGAAGTGCTGAGCAGAGGCCATGTCGTGCTCTCAGTCACAGCTTGCACTAACCCACATCAGCTTAGTTTTGCTCCATTTGACCTGAGGCTTCCTAATATATTTGCTCTGTAACTCATAAGTTTTGCTGACTTATGAATGCACATTCCACAGTGTAAATTATGTCTTCTCAGAAGCTAACTGAAAATATTTTTAAAATTTCTTTATTGCTTAAGGTGTTACATGTGTCCTTATTCCCCCATTACTCCCTAACTGAAAATATTTAATGTTTAAAAGTTATGAGTATCATAGTAGAACTATCCTTTAGCGAAATTTGAAGCAGTCCAGGCTTAAATCTTGTTTCAGAAAGGCAGTTTTTATCATGACTGCCTAATTATGCCTCAAAAGACCTTCTTTGAATTGCAGTCATGTATAGTGTAAGTGGCCTGAATTCTCTGCCTTTTTTAGTTGCTTTGCAAGCTTACCCTGAAAATAAATTATTTAGTCAACTTAAGTTATTCTCAGAAGATGTCCCAGTTGTGTAGAAAGGATCAAATTGAGCATTTGACACACATACAAAAAAAAAAAAAAAAAAAAAAAACCACAAAAACCCATAAATAACTCAACAAACACTTTAGGCTAATCATGTCTACCAGATTTTTAAAAAGGCAAATTTTGGATTGTTCCACCTTGGAGATTCTGTAAAATTTATAGAACTGTACTTTCAAATAGTGCCTGTTTTGCATTTAAAAATTTCTAATATTATGATACTAATTTATACAAGTATATTGAAAGTATTTTCCCTATTAAACTTATTTTCCAAATAAAAATTATGTGTTGGTCATTTATTATTAATCTGAGTTATAAAACTATGGTAAAATATATACTGGCCAAAACCTTTAAACTCACAGAACTTTGTCCTATTGAAATATACCAAAATAACTCATTTTTCCAATTGCCCTGGCAGAGAGTGTTTCACGGGGAATAGCAGTTAATATACACATGAAAATCTCATCGGTAGCCCAATCCATTTGAGTTTGGAGGGTGGAAATTCTTTACCTGGAGTGAATAGTTCATGTTTGTTATTCTTTATTTCCCTTGAGGTGAAGCACTTCTTTACATTCTGAAAGCTGCAAAAAAAAAATTTATAACTAAATCTAAAATCTTAACCTCAGTTTACTTACCTCATATCTTCTGCGCATTCTTCCACAGGTATGATGAAATAGATAGCTAAATTCTTGCTACTGCCACACACACAGGGAATGCTTTGGAGCTGTTGTTTTGATTTTTTTTTTAAATAAAGAGGGGAAAGCAATATGCCTCCTTTTTCTAATTTCAAAACAACTCTTTAAAAGACTAGCTCTGTTCCTAAAATGAACTTCCAGCTATTTTCATTTTCTCTGAGCTATGAAGGGAGTGTTCTGCTTTATGGCTGGCAGTGTGCACCAAAATGGAGTAAGTACTTTAGTGGAATTATATAAAGTGTGATGCAATATTGACCCAGGAGTAACTTACAGTCTTCGGGAACAAAACTTACCTACATACATGAAATGACTATGATTACAAAGCAAATACAAGCAAAGGCATGATAATGTGATAACAGCTGTTTGCAAGATTGCTAAGGGGTTCTATGTATACTTACTGAATCAATGATTAACAGGACATCAGGTGAGAGGTCAGTAATGAGCAGGGGGTTTCGGAAGTAATGAGTCTTGAACTGAGTTGTTTTTTGTTTTGTTTTTAAATATATTTTTATTGACTTTAGAGAGGAAAGGAGAGGAAGAGAGAGATAGGAACATCAATGATGAGAGAGAATCATTGATCGGCTGCTTTCACATGCCACACACTGGGGACTGAGCCCACAACCCGGGCATGTGCCCCTGACCGGAATCAAACCCAGGACTCTTTAGTCGGCAGGCCAACAGTCTATCCACTGAACAAAACCAGCTAGGGCTTGAACTAAATGTGAAGGAAATGAGAAGATATTAATTGGTCAAGAATAAGATGGAGGCCTGGCTAGTGGATAGAGTGTTGACCTACAGACTGAAGGGTCTCAGGTTTGATTCCTGTCACAGGCATGTACCTCAGTTGCAAGCTCAATCCCAGGTCCTAGCCAGGCACTTGCGGTAGCCAACCAATTGATGTATCTTTCTAATACTGAGGTTTTTCTCTGGGTGTGTCTCTTCCCCTCCCTTCCACTCTCTAAAAATCAATCTACATCAAAATAAAAAGCTTTTGCACAGCAAAGGAGACCATCAATAAAACAACAAGAAAGCCCACTACATGGGAGAACATATTTGCTAATGATATCAATGATAAGGGTTTAATTTCCAACATTTATAGGAAATTCATGCAACTTAACCAAAAGATAAACCAATATAAAAAAAAAAATGGGCAACTGATCTAAATACCCTATTTCCCCCAAAATAAGACAGTGTCTTATATTGTTTTGCTCCCAAAGATGTGCTAGGTCTTATTTTCAGAGGATGTCTTATTTTTCCATAAGAAGAATACAGCACACATTTATTGTTAAATGAAAATAAAGGAAATTTATTACCTGTATACGGTATGGTAGTATGGTAGTTGTCAACACAAACCAGACAAACTGTGAATCCTACAGCATTAAGAATTTACTCATTTATTCAATGACAATCATGTCATCATCTTCTGGAACATCATTATAACAATCCAATTCCTGAATTTCCTGGTGAATTTCTTGTGACTCCATTTCTTTCAGAATCAGTGGACCAAATCTCTCATGTATCAAGGTGGGGAGAGGGGGGTCACTTAAAATGACACAGGGGGGACCAGAGGGGGGGAATCAAAATGGCACAGGAGAATCAGAGGGGGGATTACCATTTTAGTGACCCCTTTTGATCCTCCTGTGTCAGTTTGATTGCCCCCCCTGATCCTCCAGTGTCATTTTAAGTGATTCCCCTCCCCCTGTGCCACTGAACACCTTCACCAGACATCCCCCCTACCCCTTTATCAGATATTTACCCCCTGGGGACTGTCACTGGGCTTGCTGGGGCCTGGATGTGGGCTGGAGCAGGGTCTGCCACTGACTGCGAACCTTCAGTCATCATGAGGGAGACCGCGAGCATCAGGTAGTGTCACCAGAGACAGACCAGCACTCACCACCTTTGCTGCGTCCCATCCGCTCTAATCCTCCTGTTCTTCTACACGCATGTGTGAAAGTCTCCTCCTCTTTCCCACCCCGCGCTCACCACTCACTCCGCTCACCGCTCACTCCAACCTCCACTCCACCTCAACACAGCAGTGATGTCAGGACTCCACGTAACATCACTGGTTGCTAGACGCCAGTCGGGGCGCCCTAGCGTCCAGTTTATGGTAAATTAATTTTCATTCTGAAACAGAGCCTAGGGTGGCCTTATTTTCAGGGGATGCCTTATATTTCAATCAGAAGGAAATCTGTAAATAAGTCTTATTTTCAGAGTATGTTTTATTTTCGGGGAAACACGGTAGATACTTTTCTAAAGAAGACAGAAGGAAGGCCAAGAGACATATGAAAACCTGCTCAAAGTCACTAATCATCAGAGAGATGCAAATCAAAACAGCAATGCAGTACCATCTCACACCTGTCAGAATGGCTATCATCAACAAATCAACAGATGACAAATGCTGGTGAAGATGCAGAGAAAAAGGAGCCCTCGTGCACTGCTGGTGGGAATGCAGACGGATGAAGGGACTGTGGAGAACAGTGTGGTGTTTCCTCAAAAACTAAAAATGGAACTCCCATTTGACCCAGTGATCCCACTTCTAGGAATATATCCCAAGAAACTAGAAACATGAATCAGAAAGGATATATGCACCCCTATGTTCATAGCAGCACAATTCACCATAGCTAAGATTTGGAAACAGCCTAAGTGCCCATCAGTCGATAAGTGGATTAAAAAACTGTGGTACATCTATACAATGAAATACTATGCTGTGCTAAAAAAAGGAGTTCTTATCATTTTCAGCAACATGGATGGAGATGGAGAGCATTATGCTAAGTGAAATAAGCCAGGCAGAGAAAGATAAATATCACATGATCTCACTCATTTATGGAATATAATGAACAACATAAACTGATGAACAAAAATAGATCCAGAGACAGAGAGACATCAATCAGAATGTCAAACCACAGAGAAGGTAGGGGAGGGTGGGGATAAGAGGGAGAGATCAACCAAAGAACTTATATACATGCATATAAGCCTAATCAATGGACACAGACAACAAGGGGGTGGGGGCATATATGGGAGGTGGGGAATAATGGGGGAATAAGGACATATATGTAATACCTTAATCAATAAATAAATTAAAAAATAATAATAATAAATAATAAAAATCAATGGGAAAATATCCTTGGGTGAGGTTTAACAACAACAAAAAAAAGAATAAGTTGGAGGATATTGCAGGTTGAAGGCAGGTCATGTGCAGTGTCACAGAGATGGAAACAAGCTAAAGGTGTTTGGGAGAGTGGAAGAAGACTAGCTTTGTGTATTTATTCAGCTGCTGGGCACTGTGGACACAGTGGTACATAAGTCAGATAATGTTCTTGCCCTCCTGGAGCTTGCATTCTAATGAAAGCAGCTGTCAATAAATAAATAAATCAACAGATTGCAAAGTTATGAGGAAAATAAACAGGGCACTTTATTATAGAAACATGTGCGAGTGAGGCAAATATTTTAAATCAG